GTCTGGTTCCCTGTAACCTTCTCGCAATGAGGGAACCACCAGAAGGCCCTCGGCGCTGGGCCTCAGTGTCCGGGCTGAACGATGGGGGTGGAGACGCTCCTTCAGGTATACTGGACCGAGGCCGTTTAGGGCTTTAAAGGTCAGCACCAACACTTTGAATTGTGCTCGGAAAAGTACTGGGAGCCAATGTAGGTCTTTCAGGACCATAGCTGTCAACTTTTCCCTTTTCTTGCGAGGAATCCTATTTGGAATAAGGTAATTTCCCTTTTAAAAAGGGAGACGTTGACAGCTATGTTCAGGACCAGCGTTATGTGGTCTTGGCAGCCACTCCCAGTCACCAGTCTAGCTGCCGCATTCTGGATTAGTTGTAGTTTCCCAGTCACCTTCAAAGCTAGCCCCAAGTAGATCGCAACATCACACTCAAGATAGTCTCCGCCATCTTGGTCAGATAAATTGCTGGGCAGCAGAGTGGGTGGTATATCAACAGCAACCCCAGTTTACTGACTCAGCACCAACACTTTGAATTGTGCTCGGAAATGTACTGGGAGCCAGCTCTGCCATAATCCATGGGTTAGATTTGAATGGCGATATCTGTACCTCCTAAAACGCAAGCTGATAATTGCACAGCAAGGCAGAAGATGGTTCTTGTAAAAGTCTGGTGATTTCTACACACACACACACACACACACACACACACACACACACACACACCATAAGAAAGAAGCACGGTTATACTCTGATAAAGATGCAACTCAGGTCCCGGCTGGCAACTCAACAGCAAGTTTGTTAAAATATAGTAGGAAGAGAGATTGATGTGTCTGCAACCTTGGGCAGGCTGCACAGGGAAAGAATATTTTAGCACTGACCTTCCTGTCAGTGTGAATGAAAAAGAAAACTGGTTTGTAGTAGGTGTTGTTTTGCAGAAAAGGCCCTCATCCCTCACTTGCAATGAAAGGTGTCAGGAAGCATGAGGAAATCGATAGTAAAACAAGGAATTGATATGGCTCTCCAATCACTGGCACAAGGCAAATGATCATTTTAATACGTCCAATATATAGATCTGGAAATTCAGATACAAATTCCCTATGATGTGTGACTCCTGGAAAAATAAGTCTAATATCTATCCCTCTCTGCTTCTAAAATTTGATGATATTCTGATTTGTTCTTTTTTAAAAAAGAAGAGCAAATTCCCCACCCCACAGGACCCTACAACCACACAATCCATCCTTTGACTCCATGGTGAGCTATTTTGCTTAGGCTTAAGCAATACTGTGGATATTTTGATTGTTTTGCACGTTTCTGCTTAGTCGCCAGAATGAGGCCCTTCAGCAGAATCTTCAGAAACAGATCAGTACTTTCCGTCAGAACGTCGTTGGTCTCCAGAGCCTCGTAGATGCCCTGGGAAGTGTCCATGGACACTGGGAGTCCCAGAAGGTGAGGGTCACCTGAGCTACAATTTATTTACGCTTCTGACTTATAATAACTAATTATCAGTTATCACTGGCTAGCAGTCAATCAGGTAATGCATCCCTTTGAAGGTGAACTGACGAATAAAAGAAATTTGCCCACGTAAGCCAAGACGGGCACAATATGTTGATTAAAATGTCTTGTAACAATTTTAGTCATGAAAAAAGACATTCACTTTGACCATCTCAGAAAAAATCTGCAGAGGCAATAATATTTTGATGGTGTTTATAAAAACAGTATTTACTAGAAAATCTTCAAAATCCAAATATTTCCCACACAGATCATATTGGTGTACATAGCCTACTGAGAATCACATACAATCAGGGATAATAAAAATGAATACTTTGTGATATAATTGATATGATGGTCTTTTTGTATTTATAGTGTCAGTGTTAGCTGCCTGTCTCCTTGTGGAAAAGTGGGATATGAGTTTAATAAATAAATGAATCCTTCACAGTCCTAAGAAATCACCCAAAGAGGAGAGCCTTGTGCTACTCTTATGAAGATTTTTGCAAAATGCCTTCTCTCCACAGTCAGCCATAAACAGGGCTATCAATGCTGGTAGAGGTTAAGGGTGACAGTGAAGAAGAAGAAGAAGAAGAAGAAGAAGAAGAAGAAGAAGAAGAAGAAGAAGAAGAAGAATAAGAATTAATACCTCACTGATCAGGCTGGGTTGCCATCCATCTATTCTAAGTCAGCTCTGCTGGTTGTTAAGTTCTTGGCCCCACTCATGGTGGGATGAAAGTTAAATTTGTTGTTGTTGTTTAGTCGTTTAGTCGTGTCCGACTCTTCGTGACCCCATGGACCAGAGCACGCCAGGCACTCCTGTCTTCCACTGCCTCCCGCAGTTTGGTCAGACTCATGTTTGTAGCTTCGAGAACACTGTCCAACCATCTCGTCCTCTGTCGTCCCCTTCTCCTTGTGCCCTCCATCTTTCCCAACATCAGGGTCTTTTCCAGGGAGTCTTCTCTTCTCATGAGGTGGCCAAAGTATTGGAGCCTCAGCTTCAGGATCTGTCCTTCCAGTGAGCACTCAGGGCTGATTTCCTTCAGAATGGAGAGGTTTGATCTTCTTGCAGTCCATGGGACTCTCAAGAGTCTCCTCCAACGCCATAATTCAAAAGCATCAATTCTTTGGCGATCAGCCTTCTTTATGGTCCAGCTCTCACTTCCATACATCACTACTGGGAAAACCATAGCTTTAACTATACGGACCTTTGTTGGCAAGGTGATGTCTCTGCTTATGAAGAAAATAACTCAATACTTCTGGTATGGATGCACCAAAGTCATAACGTTCCTCCTCTACTTGGTGGTTCCCCTCGTTTTCCTCCACTGATGCCTGACTGCTTTGTTGAAGCTTCTCCCTCACCACAACCCGCACTTCCAGACATTGTATATTCCTCACTTGGCCACATCAACCAGGGGGAAAGACTCAGGATGGGAGAAGAGAAATTATTTCTATAACCTGCAGTAATGGGCATGTGTTTGCATAGCTGCAGGTGGGCTCTCTCTCCTACACCTCAATTGTATATTTTTTTGTGACAGCATCTCTTCAACCAATTGGGGGGCACTGCAGTGGAAAGCAATCAGATTGAAAAAGAAGACTTTGCCCTGAAATCTGCAGGTAAGAAGAGGGTATAGATGGAGTGGTAGACAAACACTAGGAGGCAGCAGAGCTTCAAGGGAACAGTGAGACAGACGGAGCGAGCAGGGAAGAGAGGTGGTGTTGGGCTGGAAGCAGCAGTGATATAGTATGAGGGGAGTACAGTGGTGCCCCGCAAGAATGCCTCGCAAGACGGAAAACCCGTTAGACGAAAGGGTTTTCCGTTTTTGAGTTGCTTCGCAAGACGATTTTCCCTTTGGGCTTGCTTTGCAAGACGAAACGTCTTGCTAGTCTTGCAATTCCCCCCCGCTCCCCCCCTTTTCTAAGCCGCTAAGCCGCTAATAGCCTTTTAGCAGCTAAGCCGCTAAGCCTTTAATAGCCGCTAAGCCGCTAAGCCTTTAATAGCCGCTAAGCCGCTAAGCCGCTAAGCCGCTAATAGCGCTAAGCCGCTAAGCCGCTAATAGGGTTGCTTCGCAAGACGAAAAAACCGCAAGACGAAGAGAATTGCGGAACGGATTCTTTTCGTCTTGCGAGGCACCACTGTAACTCCTCTCTTGAATCTGTTGATTTCTGGTGTGTGCAAATATTTATCCACTAGAATATTGGCTGCAGGCTTCTAACTTCATATTAATATGGAATACCCTCCAAAATTTCTCCAAGGGAAATAGAGACGTCTTAAGGAAAAGTCATAGGGACGCGGGTGGCGCTGTGATCTAAACCACAGAGCTTTGGGCTTGCCAATCAGGAGGTTGGCGGTTCAAATCCCCGCGGCGGGGTGAGCTCCCGTTGCTCAGTCCCAGCTCCTGCCCACCTAGCAGTTCGAAAGCACGTCAGGTGCAAGTAGAGAAATAGGTACTGCTCCAGTGGGAAGGTAAACGGCGTTTTCATGCGCTGCTCTGGTTTCGGTGTTCCATTGCTCCAGAAACGGCTTAGTCATGCTGGCCACATGACCCGGAAGCTGTCTGCAGACAAACGCCGGCTCCCTTGGCCTATAAAGCGAGATGAGCGCCACAACCCCAGAGTCCTCCGCGACTGGACCTAATGGTCAGGGGTACCTTTACCTTTACCTTAAGGAAAAGTGGGACATTCCAGGATCAGATCAGAAACTGGGGTGGCTTCCATAAATCCGTGACTGTCCCTGGAAAACAGGGATACTTGGAGGGTCTGATATGGTACAATCGCAGCATTCTACTACGTAGGCTTTACGGCAAAGGTAGGGCATTTCAGGTAGCTGTTCCCCAAATTACATGTCGGAAGGGAAAGGAGGGTGGGGGGGGGAGAGGAAGCCGAAATGAATGATGTGATGGAAGGCGGGTGTGGGGGGGAGGAGAATCCCTCAGGACCAGACCAATCTGTCCCTCTCCCAGGAACCAATTTGGTGGTGAGGAAAAGGAATGGGAAGAGAGAAAGATGATTGAGTTATCAGAGAGAGAGAGAGGGAGAAGGGATGGTAGAAAGAGGAGAGAAACAGGCAGTGCTCCCCCCCCCGGGGATACTCAAGGGTATGCAGTACCGTCACCCCAAATATTTAAAGTGTGGCACTTACTGTAACAATTTAATGGTGAGTACTGGCACCTTTTTTTAAAAAAGCCCTATGGGATTTGCTTCATGATCACACATCGTGGCAGCTACTGATAAACTCAACAAAGGAAAATGAGAGGGATGAACCCTGTAGCAATGTATTTTAAAAAAATGAAGAACGTGACATTCCATTGCCAAATGTTCATTCTAGGAGTCATGGCGGAAGTAATGAAACAAAGCCATATTGGAGGCTGTTTGACTTGAACTGGGAAACCCCGATAGATTTGTGGTTAGCACTTGCCAACTGTGGTAATTTAATTCTGATTGGATTCTCTATGTTTCTCTTACTAATTTTTGATTTTGTGTGTGTGTGTGTGAAACCCTCCCTATTTAATGCCCTAATATCTGTAGGTGCATCGATCGTAAAATTCAGCACAAGCTATGAAACGGGAGCGCAGCTTTGCATGTTGGGACTGTGCTGGGATTACTCACGAGCACCAGAAGTGATTCTTGAGGTAGGAATCTTGGAAAGCAATGTTTGGGGTCCTTCTCAATTTTTTTGACTCACCACCACTACCTCTCAATCATCCAGCAGAGAAATCCACCTACCCTCCAGTCTCAATGGCATGGATTATTTGTACACCCCTATTTAGCCAAGAGCCCCCCCCCAAAGCAGGAAACACTAATACACCTTAAGGCAAAAGAAATATACAGTAAAAGCACAACACCTGAAACAAAATGATATAAAATAGCGGCAGGATTTTCAACAGCCAACATGATGTGGGTGAAATGGAATGTCCCACTGATATATCATCCAAAATCTGTTTGAAGTCCATATCATGATATTGTTTTCATAATTTTTGACCTGTCAATATATTGTGAATAATGATATGTGTGTGCTATGCAAAAAACACAATGTGAGAAAAACTGTGAAGCCAGCCAATGCCTCTACATGGCTCCATCCTCATTTCAGACATTGTGATATACAGTCGTACCTTGGATCCCGAACGCCTTGCGAGTTGAACGCTTTGGTTCCCGAATGCAGCAAAACCGGAAGTGAGTGTTCTGGTTTGCGAACGTTCTTTGGAACCCGAACATCTGACGTGGCTTACGCGGCTTCTGATTGACTGCAGGAGCTTCCTGCAGCCAATTGGAAGACACGCCTTGGTTTCCGAACAGTTTGGAAGTCAAATGGACTTCCGGAATGGATTTCGTTCGACTTCCAAAGTACCACTGTATTGGTATATCACAATGTTTAGCTGGTGATATAGCACAATGTTGAAAACCAGTTATCACCCAACCCTACAGTTTATCTCTACATAGCTCCATCCTTATTTCAGACATCGTGATATATCAACATAACATGATGTTTAAAAAGTAAAGAACCCCTGACAGTTAAGTCCAATTGCGAATGACTCTGGGGTTGTGGCGCTCATCTCGCTTTAGTGGCTGAGGGAGCCAGTGTTTGTCCACAGACAGTTTTTCCGGGTCATGTGACCAGCATACTAAGCCGCTTCTGGTGAAACCAGAGCAGTGCACGTAAATGCTGTTTACCTTCCTGCCGGAGTGGTACCTATTTATCTCCTTGCACTTTGATGTGCTTTCAAACCGCTAGGTACCAAAAGCAGCTTCTTAACACTCTTCCAATAGTTTTGCTTCCCAGTGAGAACCAGATAAAGGTGTCCAGACACGTTGACTTCTATCTTGTGTTGGCTGCCAAAGTAGGGACAAACTCTTGTTTCCCCCAGCACCACCACTGTTGGGGACTTGTAAAGAGTTACTTGAGTCTTTAGTGTAATTCGCATACAAACGGCACTTATTTTCTGAATTCTCCAGATTTGTGTGTGCTCTCTTCTTGATAGGCATGAGACTGTTTTGTTTTTCAGCGGGATAACACCCCTGGGAATTGCTGGGCCATGCAAGGCTCTCAAGGCTATGTCGTCATCAAATTGTCCGAAGCCGTCTGCCCGGTCGCAGTGACCCTGGATCATATTTCAAAGAAAATTTCTCACACAGAAGAAATAACCAGTGCTCCAAAGAACTTCTCTATCTATGTGAGTAATTTCCCTATGATTTTCAGGACTTTGCATTGAGAAATTTTAAAGGTGGAAGTTTATTTTTATAGAACACTTACCAATGTTTGTATAACAACCTTTGGTTCATTTCTTTGAAGCCTCTTATCGAATCTCTTTGGCTTTCCCCCTTTGTCTCTTCTCAGGGATTCAAAGATGATTTTGAGAAGGAAGAAGGGAACTTTTTAGGGTCATTTGTCTACAGAATCGATGGTTTCCCTATGCAAACTTTCAAGCTGGAGGTATTATTATTATTATTATTATTATTATTATTACTTATTATTATTATTATTATTATTATTATTATTATTATTCTATTTCATTTCTATATTGCTTTATATTTTTAAGAAAAATCTCTAAGCGGTTTACAGCATATTAAAACATCAATGAAACAATCCAGAATCAAACATTTCTGAAGAAAGTCAAATATAGAGTATACAGTCAAAGCAACATAACTAACAGAAAACCAAACTTTTATCTTAAAGATTTCAAAATAGAATATTACAAAGGAGGTCAACAGTGCCAGGTTCTGTGCCAGGTTCATGCATGCTACATGGCACCCACAGTTGCGGTGCCAAGTTGGCACTCCTGCAACAAAATATACTTTACAGGAAGCAAACAGTAACCTTCTATTTATGTCCCTGTATTTTCAGAGAGAAAATTCAGGTAAATTCCAATACCTGCTCTTGAAGATTTTGAGCAACTGGGACCATCCAAAGTACACCTGCATCTACGGGTTCCATGTGTATGGGGAACGAATGGAGTGATGGAGTGATCAGAGAAATTCAGTATAATAAATACGGTACATCATAGCATATTTTTATTGTTATTGTGGCTAATATTGTTATTGTGGCTTTTCGTTAGGGTTTCCAACCTCAGACCCTCTTGCTCGGTGGTCTGAGACAGAATAATAATAATAATAATAATAATAATAATAATAATAATAACAACTATTTATACCCTGCCCATCTGGCTGGGCTTCCCCAGCCACTCAGGGCGGCTTCCAACAAAATATTAAAATACAATAGTCTGCCTTTTAGATGTCTTCTAAAAGTCTGTAGTTGTTTTTCTCTTTGATATCTGGTATTATGTGAAAGTGATATTGGAAATAGGGTATCCTTTGGTCAATCACAGTTAGGGGGGGCCTCATTTCCCATTCCTCTCTGCAACACTGTTTCCACTCCACTGCGGTTTGTTTCCCACCAGATGCTATGTTATTCATCTTGCTGTCTGCTGCGGCGAAATTATGTCACTTAACACAACCTACGTAATTAGTTACCTAAGTTATGTTATCATTACATTAAAGGTAAAGGTAAAGGGACCCCTGACCATTAGGTCCAGTTGTGACCGGCTCTGGGGTTGCGGCACTCATCTCGCTTTATTGGCCAAGGGAGCCAGCGTACAGCTTCCGGGTCATGTGGCCAGCATGACTAAGCCGCTTCTGGCGAACCAGAGCAGTGCACGGAAACGCCGTTTATCTTCCCACTGGAGTGGTACCTATTGATCTACTTGCACTTTGACGTGCTTTTGAACTGCTAGGTTGGCAGGAGCAGGGACCGAGCAATGGGAGCTCACCCTGTTGCGGGGATTCAAACCGCCGACCTTCTGATCAGCAAGTCCTAGGCTCTGTGGTTTAACCCACAGCGCCAACCACGTCCCTTATTATCATTACATTATTCGACCCCATTCATTTCAATGCAAAGGAAATGCAATGCAGATTGAGGGGGGTGGATAGGAGGAGGAAATGTAATCGATTACCTATCGTTTGCAGACTGAAAGCGACAACAGCGAATGCAGACCATATTTGCTGGGTTGATTTCCATGCTGGACATGGGACAAATGAGCAAAGACCGGCAAGTACAAACCCCTGCATTCTGGTGCCATCGGCTTTTGTGTGATCTGGAGCCAATGGCACCAGATGCATGGAATGGGTTAAGCTGGAGGAAAAACGTAGACTGTATGGCAAAAGGAAAGGGAATGTAAGATGTAACTCTAGGCACATCGCAGTCCTGTTTTCGAGCGTAATCCATTCCGGAAGACCGTTTGAGTTCCGAAACGTTCGAAACCTGAAAACTCAGAACGGAAGCATCAAATTGGAAAACTCAATATAGAAAGCTCAGTACGGAAGCCTGAAAACGGAAAACTCAATACAGAAGCCACGTTTCATGTTTGACTTCCGAGGCGCATTCGAAAACCGAAACGTTTGTTAACGGAGATGTTTGAAAACCGAGGTACCGCTGTACAGAAGTCTGCCTGAGTAGGCAAGATGTATGCCCATGTATGTCAGCTAAAGGAGCACTCTGTATGGAAGGGATATCTTGGGAAATGGTAGTGTGCCCAAATGCCAAAACAGGGCACAGGCAAGGTAATGATGCCACTCAGGCTGTGGGTGCAGAAGACATTCACAGTCGTATGGGATGAGGGAGAAAGTCCTTGCCCTGTTATCGTGTTCAAAAAACACTTGATTTAATAGATTTGTAAATGCATGCTTTCCCAGGCATAGAACATTTCATTCCCGTGACACAATAAAACGGTTTCTCTCAAAATGAGTACAGCCTATTAGGCTGATAAAACTAATTTTGATTTTCTCGCAATCTTAGATATGGGCATTTCATGGAGCAAGCTCAATCTCTCCCTCCTCCCCAAGTTCTCTGATGAACTAGGGTTTGCAGCCCTCTGCAGGAAGTAAAAACAAATGTTGAGGCCAAACTACAAGCAAAGCCCCATTTTCTTTCACTGACAATTGAATATATCAATGTATTGTATTATGGTAAGGGTAAAAAAGTAAAGGGCCCCTGGATGGTTAAGTCCAGTCAAAGGCGACTATGGGGTGTGGCGCTCATCTCGCTTTCAGGCCGAGGGAGCTGGCGTCTGTCCACAGACAGCTTTCTGGGTCATGTGGCCAGCAGGACTAAACCGCTTGTGGCACAATGGGACACCATGACGGAAACCAGAGCGCATGGAAACGCCGTTTACCTTCCTGCCACAGTGGTACCTATTTATCTACTTGCACTGCATGCTTTCGAACTGCTAGGTTGGCAGGAGCTGGGACAGAGCAACAGGAGCTCACCCCGTCGCAGGGATTCAAACCGCCAAACTTCTGATCGGCAAGCCCAAGAGGCTCAGTGGTTTAGACCACAGCGCCACCTGCATCCAGCGAATGTATTATGATTATTTTGCAAAGACCTGCACACTCCAATCTTATGTATGTTTACTTGGAATGAAGCCCCTGTATACAATGAGGCTTACTCTCAAATAGGTATATATAGGATTGCAGCTTCAGTTTTGCTTGGCTTTGTTTGCTATGGGGTATTGGGGAAGGGGTAGTACCTCTGGTGGGGGACACAATGTGCTCTTTCTGGGGTAGTTCCTTCACCTATGGTCCCCATCCTGCACTCAGCTCCCACCTGTGGCTCCTAGAAGCTGTCAGCCTATGACAGCGACCACATCCCAGGAAATAACAGCAGCAGCAGCAACAACAACAATTTATTTCTACCCCACCTATTTGGCTGGGTTTCCCCAGCCACTCTGGGCAGCTCCCAACAGAATATTTTTTTAAAAATGATAAAACATCAAAAACTCCCCTAAACAGGACTGCTTTCAGATGTCTTCTAAAAGTCAGATAGTTGTTTATTTCCTTGACATCTGATGGGAGGGCGTTCCACAGGGCGGGCGCCACCACCGAGAAGGCCCTCTGCCTGGTTCCCTGTAACCTCACTTCTCACAGTGAGGGAACCGCCAGAAGGCCCTCAGCGCTGGATCTCAGTGTCTGGGCTGAATGATGGGGGTGGAGACGCTCCTTCAGGTATACTGGGCCGAGGCCATTTAGGACTTTAAAGGTCCGCACCAACACTTTGAATTGTGCTCGGAAACATACTGGGAGCCAATGTCTTCAGCTGGCTGGCTAAACCAGGTGTGGGTCCCAATGGGTACCAAACCTTCAGTGACTAAGGGACTTTACCTGCATGTAAAGACAGGCTCTAGTGGATTGAGCAGACGAGACCCCCTAGAAGGTCCAATAGTCCAGAAGGTGGTTTCTGCATGTATTGTAAAGGGAAGTGAGGGGCAGAGGGGGCTTGTCAACCTGGGAAGGCAGTCCCTCAAGGAGAAGGAATAAAACAGATGTCTGGAGGGGCCCTTACTCCCAGGAAAGGGTGTATGGGATAAGCTGGTTATGGTGATACTGGCCCTTCCCTGCTAGTCTGTCTGAGCACATGAAGAACTTCTTTCCCTGGTATGTAAACGGAACCAGGTCTGCTTCCTGCATTTGAGGCTGAACATGAGCTTCCTGACTAAATGTGAAGAAAAAGATACTGACACAAAAGAAGAGATGGACAACATTTGCCATTTGAGACTATACGTCCATCCCAAAGTCCAGCTGAAGCTCTAGAAGTGCTGGAGATGCAATGAGACTGATGGTACATTCTGTCATATGTGGTGGACCTGTAAAAGGTTAAAAGAGTATTGGGAAATAATTCATAGTGAACTGGAAAAAAAATGTTTAAAAATACTTTCCCCAAAAAAATCAGAGTCCTTTTTGTTGGGGATAATTCAGACAGAAATTCCCAGTTGTCAAATAAGGTTATTTATGTATGCCACTACTGCAGCCCGTGTTTTGTTAGCCCCAAAATGGGAAATGAGCGAGATTCCAACCAAAGAAGAATGGCAACTTAAACTGATGAAATATGTGCCGCTTGTGGACCTAACATATAGAATAAGAGAACAAGGAAAACATACGTTTAAAGAAGATTGGAAAATGTTTATTGAATATATGGAGGGAAATTGTGTATATTTGAAAACGTGGGCAGCATTAAGATAAATTCAACAGTGTAAATGAGTTTTGATGGATGTAATAATGGAATACTCAATGGTTTAGTTTATATGAAATACGCAGGGATTTATGTTATGCAAAATGAAACATGGGAAGAGAAGAAGGGAAGTCACTGATATTTTAAGGTGGTTTAAATGAATATTCTAAAATGTAAAACAGAAAATTTAATAAAAATTATGGGGGGGGGGGAGAGAACTGCGATCTGTCTGGAAGTGAACTATGAAATACCTCAGAAATATGGAAGGGGCCGGCCCACCATGAGGCAACTGGCTCAGGTGGCCCACTCCACAGGGGCAGCAGATCCCAATCTATATCTTTATTTCTATCTTCTTCCTGATGTAGATGTTCACTCAGCCCTTCTTCCTTGGTGGGGAGGGGGTGCTAAAATGTGGTTCGCCTCAGGTGCCAAAATGTCTTGGGTCAGCCCTGGGAAGGAGAGGAAGTTTGAGGGCTTAGAGCAGTGATAATAAGAGAACAAGGAAAACATATGTTTAAAGAAGATTGGAAAATGTTTACTGAATATATGAGGGGAAATTGTGTATATTTGAAAACATGGGCAGCATTAAGATGAATTCAACGGTGTAAATAAGTTTTGATGGATGTAATAATGGAATACTGAATGGTTTAGTTTATATAAAATACGCATGGATTTATGTTATGCAAAATGAACCATGGGAAGAGAAGAAGGGAAATCATTGATATTTTGAATATTGAATATATCACAAGATGATAAAGGCTCCGCTGAAGTGAAATGCCACAGACAACAGCTCATTTCCCCAAAACAGAGAGGAAATTACCACATGAACGGACGTGAAGAGTAACAAGCTCTGATGATTTTCTGGTACGAAATATTTGAATATAGGTGCAATGTCTACCCTCAGCCACTGGAGCGCACCAAACCTCCACCAGAAACAATTCTTTAAAAAAAGAGAAAGGAAAAAGGTGGGGGGAAATGGCAAATAAACCTGCTAGCTGAAAGGAGGTGTATCACAGCTCGGCGGTAGAGCACATATGCTTTGTGTGCAGAGGGTCGCAGGTTCAGTCCTTGGCATCTCCCTGGACTCTACAGTTCTCCTCAGTCCCAGTCAGAATGGCCAATGGTCAGGGATGATGGGAGTTGTAGTCCAACAACACCCAAAGGGCCACTGACAGGAGTTATTAAGGAGTCGGATTCCCATCCTGGATTAAGAGTCAAAATCTCCCTTCCTGGGAAACTCTGGGAATTGCAGCTCTGTGAGGAGAATATGTCTCTCCTAAAAACTCTCAGCAAACTACAATTCCCAGGGTTTTTGTGTGTGTGAAAACTGGCTTAAAGTGGTATGGTTCTGCTTTATATTTCTAGTGCACAGAATCATAGAATCATAGAGTTGGAATAGACCACAAGGGCCATCGAGTCCAACCCCCTGCCAAGCAGGAAACACCATCAGAGCACTCCTGACATATGGTTGTCAAGCCTCTGCTTAAAGACCTCCAAAGGAGGAGACTCCACCACACTCCTTGGCAGCAAATTCCACTGTCGAACAGCTCTTACTGTCAGGAAGTTCTTCCTAATGTTTAGGTGGAATCTTCTTTCCTGTAGTTTGGATCCATTGCTCCGTGTCCGCTTCTCTGGAGCAGCAGAAAACAACCTTTCTCCCTCCTCTATATGACATCCTTTTATATATTTGAACATGGCTATCATATCACCCCTTAACCTCCTCTTCTCCAGGCTAAACATGCCCAGCTCCCTTAGCCGTTCCTCATAAGGCATCGTTTCCAGGCCTTTGACCATTTTGGTTGCCCTCCTCTGGACACGTTCCAGTTTGTCAGTGTCCTTCTTGAACTGTGGTGCCCAGAACTGGACACAGTACTCCAGGCGAGGTCTGACCAGAGCAGAATACAGTGGCACTATTACTTCCCTTGATCTAGATGCTATACTCCTATTGATGCAGCCCAGAATTGCATTGGCTTTTTTAGCTGCCGCGTCACACTGTTGGCTCATGTCAAGTTTGTGGTCAACCAAGACTCCTAGATCCTTTTCACATGTACTGCTCTCAAGCCAGGTGTCACCAGTGCAGATGGTGGTGGGGCTCTGATTCAACACCATTTCAGTCAGTTTCTCACTGCATTGTGGGAGGGAACATTTTGTCCTTCACTTCAGGCAGGAAAAATATCTTCGGACAGCTCTGATGGGGGAACATGGTGGGGAATTAAAATAGCCTTCTGTTTCCACCCCCTACAGCAGCAAAACTGTATTTTCAAGGCTGCCAATTTGAATGTTCATACTTCCCCCTAATGTATGTGTTTTTGTCTGCTTGGCAAACTTCTTAGCCAAACTGGGAGAAGTGCAAATTTCGGAAGACAGCTGTGTTTCAGGTTGCACACTGTTTTGGAAGGCGTGAATTTTTATAGGTCCTGTTTTTCCAGTGAGACCTGAATTGAAGTTCTCCCCCGTTCCTCGATGCAATTGAAAGTTTAATAAATAGGCAATATATAATATCATCTGAAGTGTTGACCAAAGTCACGGCAGGGGCAAGACTATCGATATTTCCCAGCTAGAGGGGCTGTATCATCCATGTAGAAAATATAGGAGACTGAGGGAAGTAAAAAAAATGTGAGGTGTTGTTCAGGTCTGAAGATATGACAGTTCTAAGAATTACGAGTTCATACATGAGACTTAATTCATGGACATTGTTATAAGAATTTTAAGGTATACAGTGGTACCTCGGGTTACATATGCTTCAGGTTACATACACATCAGGTTACAGACTCTGCTAACCCAGAAATAGTGCTTCAGGTTAAGAACTTTGCTTCAGGATGAGAACAGAAATTGGGCTCCGGCGGCGCAGCAGCAGTAGGAGGCCCCATTAGCTAAAGTGGTGCTTCAGGTTAAGAACAGTTTCAGGTTAAGTACGGACCTCCGGAACGAATTAAGTGCTTAACCCGAGGTACCACTGTACATCTATAAAATAGATGTTCATAAATGTACCAAGCAAACACACACAAATATGTCTGAAACCCACAGAAAAGTCCTGAAACCATTTTCTCTCTCCCAAAATGACCTCAGATATTTCTCTGCAAGGAAATGGGAAATCTCCCCATGGTCTCTTTCACAAATCCTGTCTTGAGGGCACATTTAAGATATGAATAGGGTGTGAGCCTGTGACCTGGATTCAGGAATTGAGTAGTTATCATAACAAAAGAGTGGCCAGGATGCCCAGGTAATCCAATCAGGTAACCGGGCAGACAGGATAAAAACAACGCACTCAGATTTCCGCCCCTTCTCTGATGTATCTGGGGGGTGGTCCTGGGCCACACCCCTTCTATGATGTACCCTGTTTCCCCGAAAATAAGACAGTGTCTTATATTAATTTTTGTTCCCAAAGATGCGCTAGGTCTTATTTTCAGGGGATGTCTTATTTTTCCACGGTACACATTTATTGTTGAACAAAAAAACAAAAACAACAAAAAAAGGAAATTTATTACCTGTATATGGTACAACGTCTTACGGTAGCTTTGGGGGCCTTATATTCCAGGGTGGCCTAATTATCGGGGAGGCCTTATATTCGGGGGGGGGGAAACTGGAAGTAGGTCTTATTTTCGGGAGATGTCTTACTTTTGGGGAAACAGGATATGTATGATGTTTCTGGGGGGTGGTCTTGGACTCCAGGACGGGCAATTTAAAATGCCTATATAAGGGCTTGCGTGCATGGCTCGGGGTCGTACCCCCCATGTGTGTGTGTGGGGAGCCCCCTGTTGCTACAGCTTCAATAAAGATCAGGCTTACTAGCTGCTTTGCTTCTCAATATTCTCTGGTTGATCTCTGTTATTTTCTCCTACTGATCAAGGGATCTACAAAAGGACTCTATATGGGCTCATGAGAAGAGAAGACTCCCTGGACAAGGCCCTGATGTTGGGGAAGATGGAGGACACAAGGAGAAGGGGACGAGATAGGATGAGATGGTTGGACAGTGTTCTCGAAGCTACCAGCATGAGTTTGACCAAACTGCGGGAGGCAGTGGAAGACAGGAGTGCCTGGCGTGCTCTGGTCCATGGGGTCACGAAGAGTCGGACACGACTAAACGACTAAACAACAACAACATGGGCTCTTGGGTACCCCATAAGAGAAAAGGAGCAGTCCCCCCCCATAACAACACAAACTGTTTTCCCTGTAAAAATCTCCCTGTAAAATTTGCATTTCTTTCAGGTAGAGGGTTGATTTTTCAAATGGAAAACCAGAAGATGGCGCCCTTGCAGAGGGTGGAAAGAAAACCTAGCGTTTGAGTGGTAACACTGGAATAATGCCAAACAGCCATCGCACCACAAAGTGGGCTCAAGTCCATGAAACCCTTTGCCAGAATAAATTTGCTACAACCCACTGCTGTGCCGCTTTGCTGGTAAGCAAGTCCCACGGTGTTCAAGAGTGCTTCTTCCAAGCACGGTTGTGGCCCTAGTCTGTAAGGCATCGCGTAACAGTATGTTGGCCGTCGTTCTAAGATTAGCATGGCTCCCTGCCCCTCTGCAATTTAGCAAATAGTATTGTACCCGTGTATCTGTTTTCCTGTGCTGCAGAGACAAATCTGTCATCTTACCTTTGCAAAACATCCCCCCCCCGTGTAATTTCAGGTGCCTGAAGTTTGCCATATCACTATGCATGCATTTTTGCTTCTAACACAATCTGGGTATTATTTTTGAATACTGTCATGAATATATTAGGGCTGCCATACATTCGCAAAATCCCAGACACCCCCGGGATTTTGATCCTGAAAATGGTGTCTGTGTGGATTTTTAAACGTCCGTTTCCCCAGACATATGGTAACCATGATAACTTCATTTTTTTTTGGGGGGGGAAATTGGGGGCAAGGAAAGCTCAACAACTTCGGTCCCCTCCTAAAAAAAAATCAACTTCTTTTGTCCAGATTGTCATTTTCTGAAATATGGCAACCCTAGAATGCATACAATAAAACATGTAAATAGATCTGCACCTGTAAATTATCTGCGACTAGCGGGGGGTTGGGGTTGGGTTGCAGTGCTGTGTATTGTTACTCACTGAGTAATCTCACTGAAGTCAGTGGGGGCTACTTTGAAGGAATTATGCATGCAATTAGGCTATAGATATATAGTATTTACAAAATGGCATTATTCTATGTGTGATGCTGATTTTAATATCTGACAGTGAAATAGTGTGGGCATGGTCTCTGTTTAGAGAAATTAATGGGACTACAAACTGTTTCCATTTGGCTGAATCATGTCCGTATGTTTTGTGAATACAAGCCTTTTTTTGAAAGTCAAATTCACATCCAATGGAACAATTATTTTAACACAGCAATAGACTAGAGATGAATCCAGATAATGTCATAATTGGGCTGAGTAACAATTTCACTCACTTGAAAAATAAAAACATTATTTCAACCAAACTGCTTCAAATATAAATTTGGGTTGACTTGTACTTACGGATTTGGCTTTTGGTTACAGAAAGGCCTTCGTAAGCATTGATATTTTACTGTAGTTTAGAAGATCATTCGTTGGTGTGAAGGAGAAGATGTTATGTCCAAACCTCTTCTCTGACAAATCACCATCTCTTTTTGTAGAAGTGAGGAAATGATACATGTGACTGCATTCTCCTTCTAGATTCACATTGCTCTATCTAGGGGAAATTAATTCCAAAGGGCAAGATTTAACATGATCTGATTTTTTCTCCTACCCCGATTCTGCAAACTGCAATCTTCCTCAACCCTTTTAAGCAGATATGGGTACGTAACAGTGGGTGCTACTGCTGGGAGGAAGAGAAGAAGAGGAAGGGGAAGTCCATCTGTATAAGCAGGACACCACGTTGCATATATCACCCAAAATATTTCACAAAAGTACCAACGGAGCTAAGTGCAATTTTAAAGAACCAAGCCCGAATCATTTGCACCCTCCCGTGGCATGTCAACCCAGCACCCTGCAAATAAGGATAGGGAACAAATTAGATTCCGTTCATATTTAAAGTAAAATTTATTGACCTCGCACTTTCCAAATTAAAATGGGAAATGAAAAAAACCTTCCTTTGAAATTTGCACTTACCCGAAATTTGCTATGCTGTTTTCTAAACAGCGGTGGTTTTGTTTTTTTAAAATGCATTTATTTGGTGGAAGTGTGCATTTGTATCAGCATAGTACAATATGAAAATGCATTATGTTAGGACAAACGGCTTGCAAAA